CCCCGGCGGACGAGGGCGCGGTGTACGGTGTCGGAATCGTTGGGTATTCAAAACGGGAAAGAGTAGGAGAATCCTGCAAGGCCTTGAGATACCAAGCGCGCACCGATGCATCGGGCGCCTTCCCCTATAGATGCTCGCAAACTCAAATGAGGTGAGCCGATGCATTGGCAAAGCAGTCGCATAGTTTGCCGGGAACCCATGTAGCTGCAGTTCCCTGAGATTGGGCGCATCACAAAATAAACCTGCTACGTCGAAGGAGGAGTCGCAACTGGTCAAGGATAGAGTAAGTTTTTCGAGACAACCTAATTTGGGTTGTACACTTCTACACCAATCAAGTTCGCGTTCCGAGTGGATGTCAATGTGGACTTTTCTCCAGCGACTCGAGTGCTCCGCAAGGATATTATAGACCGACCGGACGAGGGTGTCAGAACGCGTGGTGCCAGAATCGTGATGAGCGAAGTTGAAGGATATGGGATGGCCCGGGAGCGGCGGAGGGTGCTCGCTAGTACATGAGGCAGAACCGAGGCCCGGCGGTGGTTGAAGTCTATACGCAGATCCACCCAGAGTGATGGGCACGACGCGTCGCCAATGTTGTACCATTGCTTACAGACCAACATCACGTCGCGGAGCGGAGGCCTGTAATGCGCGTGCGGCCGGTAAGTGGGGAGGACGATGGGGGTGGGGATGTAAAAAGAGACCTCTTTGAGAGAGCAGAAGATCCGGGCAAGGAGTTCGACGGGCAGTCGACGGATGGGGCATAAGAGAGTGAGAAGCTCGTCGTGGATGTGGTCTAAATATCTCGCGCGCTTTGTGAAGGCGAGCTTCGCCGGAGCCTCCAAGGACGACTCGTCTATGGCTGTGGCCAGTTTTTCTTGGGCGCGGATGACGGCAGCAAGACATGCTTTGACATGCAAGCGCTGCGCGGAAAGTAGGCAGTGTTCGGGGTGTTCCAGCAGCTCGGATATCGCGCGCTTGTGGGGAATGACGCTCATCCACTTGTAGGAGTTTACTGCGGCGAGACAAGATGTCATGTTGACTGTCTGAGTAAACATTCACAATAAGAACAACGCGCCATGAAGTCGAGTGGCTACACACCTGGGGGTGATCCTGCAAAGAGTACTGATGCTAAACGATAATGCGGAAATGTCGCTTGATAGGTTTTAGGATGAACCTGGATAGCGGTGAAAGAGAACTTGAAACTTGGCGCACAAAGAAGCGTCGTGATGAAAGGGAGGACTATGAAAGAAGGTCATGTCGTCAAAAGGTGCCGGACTATTTGATGGCTCTTAAAGCTTAAAGGACTTGGTTTGTCGCCTGCCAAGAAGTGAAGCCCTGCCGCTGTAATTCTTGTCCCTGCTTTGTTCAGCTTAAACGGCCCAAAAGCCGAGTTCCTCGTGAGCTGTAGAATCACTTCAGACCGTGACAGTTGAAAACACAAGTCAAACCATCAAGTAGTCGTACCATACTGGAAGATCAGTCGTGGGAAACTGTCTTCCTCGGGCTCTCATGACGGGCAAGATCAAGAAATGATCGAGATGGTCAGCACCGGCGGTCAGCAGTGATGCGTATTCATGTTATGATAATGATTTACGATAATGCGAAAGGACTAGTAAACCTAAAAATACAGCGTGGCGTAGTTGTATATACACATCGATAATTATAAACACGAGACATAATGATAATCAAACTTCTACCGACGTCGCCCTATACACGCGTTGCTGCTTCTCTTCCTCCTCGCTCTCCAGCGCATCAACATCAATAACCTCAATACTCGGCGTATCCGGGGCATCCAGCTCATCGACCTCGTCGTCATCGTAGAAAGCCGCCAACAATCTCGTTTCCTTGTGCAAAAGCCTCATCCGCCTTCTCTCCTGCGCCTCTCTGATCGGCCTCTCCTTTTCCTCCACCTCCTTCCGCCTCTGCTCCATCTGACGCTGCTTCTTCAGTAACTTTGCCTTCCTCCGCGCCGCTTTCTCCTCCGCATTTCTCTCCTGCTTGAGACTGTCCTGTCGAATTCGTTTTCGGACATACTCCAGTCGTTTACGTGCACCTGGGAGAGGCGCGGGGTTGGAAGCATAGGTGACGATGCTGCATGTGGAAAGAGGGTAGTAGGGAAGGGTCTGACGACTGAAGATGAGATCGATTTAAAGGGTGACGACGACGGCGAGCTTGACCATGTCAAGCTGGGTGTTCCAAAAGCGTCTAGCTCGTCCTCTTCGTCATCCTCTTCCCAGTCCTGCATCGGCTCGGCGTGCTCGCGTAGGTACGCCTCGAAAGCACCGCGTGCATTCCACTCTCCTCTGTCCTCGTCGGAACACATATCCGCGTAGGCTCGTCGTGTTTGCGTTTGGATGAAGCCAAAAACACACGCCCTCTTGCACGAAAGACGTACGGATCGTTGCCGAACCCTTTCCGCTGAAAAGCCTCTATGCCTTCCAGAGACAAAGTCCCATCCGGGAGCTTCTTCCTGGGGTCGAATATCGATATGTGAATTTGCACATCGCTTGGGCGGTGGTGGTATATGATGGCGAGCGACGTGTCGGGGTGGTGTGCATCTGGCCAAAGATGTTTCAGCGTGAAAGCATCCTCGGGCTCGTACCGCCACGCGTCTGTCTTTGGGTTCTCGACTTCGACATCGTCGCTGTCCGAGTCTGTCGAGAACCCAGACTGTGTCCATACCCACGGATCTCCTTGCCCTCCACATGCGATACGCACCCAAGGCTCTCCGGTGCCTTTCTTGACCGCACCGAGCTTGTAGACCGGCTTGCACATGGTCACTTGCCGGCGTACCTCGAACAAGTGACTTGAACCGTCCTCATCCCCACCGTAGATGAAGGCCAGGAGGTGACGCAGATGAGCAAATGTATATCCATTGGGCAGTTGGACGATGCGGTACGTCCCTCGCCCTTTGGAGTGGATTTGCGGAAAAATTGACAGCGAAGGAGGAGATGAAAGCCGTATCCAGTTGGCTTGGGTAGTGACGAACGTAAAGTCACTGTAGATATGCGGCCGAAGGGGTTATTTGGGGAGTCTGTGGGAGGGGCAGGGATAGGGCTTGGGAATATACTGACGAAGACGACGATTGGGAGTATCCGCCCTTTAATGGCGATGAACTAGGGAGTGGTATTCGGTGCGGCGTGGAGGGCATTGGGAATTTGAAGGTAGGTTTCGTGGAAGAGGACTGGCTGATGCGAGCGAGTCGTATCCGCTTGGCCTTGCGGGGAGACGGCGATGGACTCTCCTCGCCCGAGTCGGATAGTGTATGCTTTTCCGGCATACTAGTCTGTAGGACGTCAGCGCGACGGCGGCGGGAAAATAGAGGGCCTTACTGTAATATAGTCGGTAATTATGTGTGCGATCCCGCCGTTCTTGGCGTCGTTGAAAGGCCTTTTTGACCGTCGGTTCAGAGACTCGCCTTTGCTCGTCGTCGTCAACGACGTCCTCGAGGATGTGGCCGTCGTCGTCAAGGCTGTGGAGAGACCCGCGGAGGCAAAGAGCAATTGATGATCGTGGTCGTAAACAAAGCCGACGTTGCCCTGGAACAAACATGTCGCGTTCTGTCATAGCATGTGATCGTTACTGTCACGCGTTTGGAGCCAAACTCGCTCATCCTTCGCTACATACAACGCTGCTCATCTGCCTAAAACCGTGATAGTGGTTCTCAGGTATAAGGCTTGCTGTGCCTCTGTTTGCCGTCGTCCTTCTAAGCCATCTGCTACTAGGGACTCCGTGATTGTCGCATGGTCCGTCGACTGTCGCGACTTGCATGAATAGTGGTCAGGAATTTCTCAGTCAGCTGCAGGGTACACGCGTACCTCTCTCTCTATTACGGGTTACTGGCTCCTATAAATGAAAGAGCACAGTACTAACGTGGAGCACTACTGACCTCAATCATCATGCTCGAGATTCCTCCCTCTACTACCATCATCTCCGTGAAAGCCATAAACGTCGGCTCTCCAGAAACCGCCCTTCCTGCTTCATACGCCTTCGAACCTGTTCTTCCTGGTTACGAAGTCTTCACGTCACCCATATACGCTTTTCTCCTCGAACATCCTTCTGGCAAAAGACTCTTCTACGATTTGGGTATTCGCCAAGACCAAGAGGCCTTCTCTCCTGTCAACAAGGCCCTACTGAAGATATGGAAGGATGCTGGTCTCTGTGGTATCGTCTTCGATAAGGATGTTGGTGAAAACTTGACGTTGCGCGGTCTGAGTCCGAAGGATATCGACGTCGTCATTTGGAGGTAATTGCTTCCAGGTCTTTTGTATTACAGAACGGCGCCGTTGACGCCACTGTAGCCACTCGCATATAGATCACATTGGTAAGCGCCGAAGCGCCGTTCATTGTTCTGTCAGGCTCTGATGCATTCACTAGGCGACATGGCACTATTCCCAACAGAACTCATCGTCGGGCCCGGAACTGGCCTCAGAACTTATCCGACCACGCCAGATGCAACGCTCATCGAAAGTGATCTGAAGTAAGGGGTCCTAGTTCGTTCACCGACTGACCGCCCAATGTTTCTACAGAGGCCACAAAGTCACCGAGCTTCAAGATTTCTCTCTTACTATAAGTGGCATCCGAGCGCTAGACTACTTCTGTGACGGAAGCCTGTACATTCTCGACGCGCCTGGCGTAAGTCACTTCTATTCTAACACTACTTATCACCCCTTACAGCACTGCCCCGGCCACGTAATGGCCCTCGTTCGCGTCACCCAAACCTCCTCTGTCTACACAGATCCATTAACCGCGAGAGACTGTGGAGAAGATTCATTTGATAATAATAATAATGTTTTTGTGATTTTGGCGCATGATATCACCATGCTGGGGGGTCATCGAGGAGGAGGTTAATGGGTGGAAGCAGCTTATAGAGGGGGAATTTTTGGATAAGAGGAATGGGTAGCGGTTTGGGGCTAGGGATTAAATGATATTCTTTGGTTTGAAACCACGAATACTTACTGAGTGGCGCAGGACCAAGCTAGCTCAAAGTGATCTATATATATGGCAACTTGGCCGAGTGGTTAAGGCGCTGGAATTAGGCACAGCTGTGGCGCAATCCAGTCCTTCGGGGCGTGAGTTCGAACCTCACAGTTGTCATACATAAGAGGAGTTTCACACAATTTTTTGAAACCGCTGGCCGCAAAACTCGGGCCGAGGGCCCGAGACAATTTCTTGGAAGTCCGACGGGAATGTTGATCCGAGTCGGCATCCACGTTCTTTCCCTTTTACCCCCATGACGAGCTAATGTTTAGTCTATTCCTCGCTCTCCTCCTTGCCTCCCCGTTACTCTATTTCCTACCACGGCTAAGGTCCTCACCCACGCGCATATTCCTCGGCTTGCATTCAATCGTACTCCTGCATAATCTCATAATACATCCGCCACCCAATGTCTTTACCCGCCTGCACCTACCACTATCGACGCCGACGGACGTGATACGCGCCCTACTTTTGAAGCATTCTCCAGAACCAAATTTACCGGCCCATCTAGAGCAGCTGCTTTCAAGAATGAACAGCTTTGACACGAGAACGTTATATGTTAGGTCTGTAAAAGCTGTAACGGGGTGTTGCAGGTGCTTATGACAAGATAGATTTGGCCATGATACAGTGGCAACGTGCGAGTATTGCCGTTCGTACGCAGACTTTGCCTTTTATTCTTTACCTTCTGCGGCCATGGCTTATGTCCGCGAAGTAGCCGTCATCGGGGTACGTGTTCACAGGAGCAGTCAACCAAACAAGTCTCACACTTAGACCAGTTGGTTACGATTCGGGGTACTGGTCGCGAACATCTACGTACTGTGGGCGTTGGCGCTCTTGCTGCTGTAGCCGCATTAGAGGTCTACTTTCGTTCATCAGCCGTCATTCAAATCAAAGACGGCGAAAACGTCTTCATGGTACGCACTTTGCGCAAATATATCATACATATCTAACCCGTCTTACAGTGGAGCGACATGCTAGAAATATTCCGCGCTCTGCTTTTCATTGTGCTCCCTCTCATAATCGACTTCCTCCCACCGCGTGCCCCTTCTGCAGCGCCACATCCGGCCGAGCATGCGATGCAGGCCCTCATCACGCGTCTGCACGCTCTCAAGTATTACCGGGGCGCCATAATGCGCACACCTTCGCTAAATAACGCCGCAAGCGCGTGGTGGGCGCGCGAGCGTCAGGAAGGAGAGTGGATTAGAAGCGACCAGCGTGTACAGGACGTCGCCAGAGGCGTGGGTCTACCCTTCGAAGGGGACGATCCGAGGCTTAGGACAAACGCGCGCGCGATAGTTAGGGAGTTCGTGGCAGCAGGACTCCCGGCTCCAGGTCAAAACTAGGATTCCTGTACTTTTGATCACAATTATAGACGTGAACTCCATGGCGACGGCGTGATTGTGCTGACCGCTGAGTATCTCCGGAATAGGTGCGTGAAGGCGACTGCACGCTGGGCCGCGGATCCATTGGCTGCAATACCACCGTACTTTTGCGGCAACGCACGTACTACCGATCTTCCAGGTACACAACCACCATTCCTATAATTTCAGTGAGCTACTTATTTGATATTACTGTGTCTTGAAGAATGCTTACTTACTGCCCCCGTCCAGGCTATCTGTCACTATCGCACCCAATTGGTGTAGCCGGCGTGACCTAACGGTTCAGCGCTGAGCTCTGCTACGTCGACGTATTCAGAAGTTTTACCAGAGCAGAAACCTGGATTGAGCTCAACACTTGTCTTTGCGAAGGGCGGCATCGTCTACACGATGAGAAAACAACGTCTCATAGACGTATCCTTGACGTATCCAATGGAACGCCGGTCGCACGAGCATACGGTCTGAGACATTCGTTAGATAGATGTTAGTAGACGTCGACTCGTAGTCTCTACAGGAATGGCCGCCTCGTTAATTTCAGGTAACGCGCTTTGTTGTGATTCTAATTCACTTAGCTTACAGGAGCATCCTTAGGTCTCATGCAAACGCGGCACATTTGAAGTCGCTGCGGGGAATCAACACGTCAATCTTCAGATTCGTCCATTATTACCAAGGACGTATCGTTGACCTCAGCTTCTGGACTTTCGACAACGAGCTGCAAAGCCGTTAGAGGAGGAGCCTTACCCTACCCGCCACCGCCTCCAGGTCAGAATTAGGATTCTTGTAGTTTTGACCACTATTGTAATTTAGATGCGAATACTCCCAGGCGACAGCGACGTCAATCTCTAGGCGACGACTCGGAATGCCGAATATCTTTGGAACATGTCGTGAAGGCGACTATCCATTCCCCAAAACGTGTCTCGTAGCGGCTGGTGGCACTTGGTTCAGGCTCACAGCGGAATTTACTGCAAGTTGCTTCTCGACATGACAGGTACGTTCAAATTTGTTATTCTCCTGCACTGTCATTCTCACTTGACCCCAAGGGAAAATCCGGCGACATGGTCACGTCTACTGTGGCGTGCGCCGTGAGTTTCATTAAGGATCTAGCCCTCCTGACAGTGTCTCCTTTCTCTTGGGCAGGATCGACCGGGATTTACATGACAAAGGGACAACGTGGGCCTGACCGCAATGTTCTACCACTTGCCCACCCCGACACACGTCTCTTTTGTTGACGGTGTACACTGTAGCACGATCAGGATGTAGGATACTCAGTAGAAGAAGTGTTAAACACGCATACTGATACTCATCCTTTCTCTCAGAACGGCCGGCGCTGAACCAAATGCATGGTGCCTTGACGAAAGGGATACGCCACAGGAGACTGCTTCTTTATAGGCACGCAGGAACGACATTATTGGTCTTCTCGATAATCAGAAAATCCTTCATGATCGTCAAACTACCCCTTCCGTTAGGAACTGCAGGAGGGTTGGCCACAAGGCTTACTCTGACAGCAGGCGCGGATGTAACTCAATCGAACGCGTTGTCGAGTATAAAGAGTCGTCCCATACACTCTTGTCTCTCAACACTTTCGCTCTTTCGGTCCTCTCAACCTCACGTTCTTTGGATTCGTTACGCCCACAGGCATCACATTCTTTCTTTACTGCAACAGAAACTCGTACCTTCATCCACGAAATCGATGCGCATCTTCTCTACAATCCTCACCCTCGGTCTCTTCGCCGCCGCTACGGCCACGGAAATCGAGGGCCTCGTCCGGCGTACTAAGAGTACATCTGATTTCTGCGGATGTTTCTCTGGCGCTGTCAGTGTGCGTTCCAAGACCAACGGCAACAAAGTTGGCTGTGGTACCATTTCCAGTAAGTCGTATCCGCCACATCGACGTGTTTCATAACTCAGTCTGACTTCGCTTACAGCTGAAATATGCATATGCATAAGCCAGATCAGCGACTGGCTCAATGTCCACGACGTCGGCAAGACCATTCTGCAGCGCGGGGGCATCACCAACGCTATCAGCTGTGTAACTGATTTGGTACGTCTTTTTCCTTTTACTTGCACCACCCAGTATCTCACCGTCGTGATAGATCGGCAAAGGCAACAGCCACAAGAAATGCGACTTCCCCAAGTTCAGCCGCTCGCGGTGCCACAAGGACAATGTGTGCGACTACGACTGCGACGGTGAGCTCGTCCGCTTGGGTCCTCGGGGGAGCCAATACTGCGGCTGCCCGGGGAACAAGAACAAGTGCGGCGACAAATGCCAGCGCCAGCCGTGCCCGTCTGGGTTGCCGCAGAAGAGGGATCTCGCGTATTGGGGCAAGAAAACGCAACAGACGTGCAGGCCCGGGTGGACGGCGTGTGGGGTGTTTGGAGGTGGACCGAGGGATTGGGAGTGTGTTGATACGAGGAATGATTTGGAGAGCTGTGAGTCGCTTCTTCTTCCTATGAGAGTGTACTGATTCGCGGGTTTCTAGGCGGCGGGTGTGCCATGGATTTGCTCAATTCTGCTAATGGACATGGGCTGGGTGTGGATTGCACGACGCTTCCTGGCGTGGCTGATGTTTCCTGCGTGGCGGGTGGATGTGCGGTGCACAAGTGTCTCCCTGGGTATAAGATCTCGCGCAGTGGGCAGCATTGCGAGGAGGAGAAGGGTATTCTTGGTGAGGCGATGCGCATTGTTGAGGCTGCTGCTGTGATTGGGCAGGAGTATTCTCCGTTTTAAAATCGCATTTCAGTGACGGCCCTCCATGGACATGATTGTTTAGAACAGACACTCTCGGACCACCTTGTCGTTCATTTATATTTAGTTAGGGAATATTTGTAGGATCTTTTTTTGTGAATATACGGAATAGCTCGCATCGTCTGCTTGAATTGTAAGACTGGGAGCATGACGATTGTGTAGTTAATTACATAGTGGTTTCCCTCAGCCTGCTTGCCAGTGGACAACGTTAACAAGTTTGATAAGATTAGATCACGTAAGGACTTCGTCTTGACTTCCATGATGCCATCCTGGCACAACAGGCAAGCTCTACGCGTCTTTCCCGACCTCCCAGTGGACATTGCGCGGAGAATTCTTGAAACGGCGGCCATTTATTCTAAGAAGGATGCTTGCCGTCTTGTTCTTGTTTCTAAAGTCGTACGCTCTTGGTAAGCCTTGAAATGTGCTCAACGCGTGTTTTCCTCATGAGTAGTAATTCGTCAGGATTGATCCCATTCTTTACCACACCGTTGTCATCCATTCCACCATAAAAGCGCGTCGTTTTGCAGTAGCAATTCGGTTGCGCAATGACCCCTCCTTCTTCCGCCGACACATCAAGCGCCTCGTTGTGTACCACGAGAGTGATATGGACAAGGCAGACTTGCACAGTCTTATTGGAGTTGCGACAGATGTAGTTTCTTTGGCTTGGTGGAGCACCATCGACACTCTGCTCCCATACGTAGACAAGCTGCTCCGAGTCAGATATTTCTCTCTCCTCATCGAATTGGAGGCCTCCACGGTACACACGGTGCTTCCTCCCAATGTCACCCACCTGAATGTGATCTTTGACGACGTCGATGAAGCAGCATACATAAACCCTTTACCGCCGTATTCCCCCGTCTGGATCGAAATCTTCAAGCGATGTCCACATCTCACGCACATTGCGGTTGACTTCTACCCCTCCACCCCTCCACCTTGGAAACGGGACAAATACTACTTCGTTCACAGCGCTCTATCCGTCGCACCCCCGACCTTGAAGG